GGGACCGTCTGGTCCAGCTGGTGCTGCAGGGACCGTCTGGTCCAGCTGGTGCTGCAGGGACCGTCTGGTCCAGCTGGTGCTGCAGGGACCGTCTGGTCCAGCTGGTGCTGCAGGGACCGGCCCAGCTGTGCTGTAATTAGACGTCAGACCCAGAAGGGGAAGCTGAACTGGGTGGGACTTTGAGACTTCCTGTCAGAGCAGAATGTGGTCCCAGCAGCTGCTTGTTTGAAGTTCAGATGATGATGATGATGATGATGGTGGTGGTGCTGCTCTTCGCTCTGCTCTCAGGTAGCTTCTGATTGGTTGTGTTGATGAAACTAACTTTGTTTATTGTCCTGATGCATCTCAGTAATCCAGGTAGACAAATCAAAGAGACAGAATGAGTMGGTCCTCTGGATGTTCTTCTTCAGTGAAACGGTTTGTCTGTCCTCCAAGAGACTTCTTCAGATGAAATGTTTCAGAAATGGTCCAGAGGACCCACTTTGATTTGTCTTTTATTTCTAATTATTTGACTGAACTTTAGACGGTCAGTTATTTTGTACAGCAGCTCAGTTTGAGATGAAGCACAGGGGAGGGGTCTGCAGGTAGACCTGCAGACCTGCAGACCTGCAGACCTGCAGCAGATAAACATCTAATGAGGAAACTCTTCTGTTCAGTTTGTCTCTGATTGATCTTCTTGTTTCTCTGACGTACAGGCGTTGGCCCAGCCTCACCCCTGCAGCTAGTAATACTCAGATCTGTAGAAACATAGAGGACAGTGGTCCTCCTGCTGCTGAACCTGTGTCTCTGTGTGGACAGGTGCTGGATGTGACAGCAGGACAGCTGTTGGACAAACGGGTCAGATGGTCATTCTACCCTGTCAATATGACACAAACCATCATGGCGTGGCAAAAGCTTGTTGGGTTAAAGGAGATTTACCCAAATGGGGCGAATGTGGCTCAAATCATCTGATCTTTACAGACGGACACAAAGTAACATCCAGAACCTCCAACAGGTACCAGTTACTGAGTCAGATGGATAAAGGAGACGTGTCTCTGACCATCCTGAACCTGACAGAGGAAGATGGAGGAACATACAGCTGCAGAGTGGCGATATCTGGACCGTTCAATGATATAAAACAATGTATCAGTTTGACTGTTGTAAAAGGTAAGAAATATATGAAATTATAAATTATATTCTGTGATTTGAACAAGTTAACTGTAGAAAGAACTGAATCTGTTAAAGAGCACTAACCCTGTTCAGTGAAGGAGGGGTGATGTTGACCTCAACCTGTGATGTCATCAGGAGGTGGGAGGAATCCTCCTCAACCCCACCGGCATGTTTTCTCTGGAGGAAGCAGAGTCTGAGGTCTTCAGGGTTGGTCTGTCCATAACTGGAGCTGAGGTGGTTAAAGCTTCGAGGTGGCACGGCTCCAGGGGTGGACCAGGTCTGTCCTGATGTGGGGTGGTCTGGGAAGGGCTCCAGGGGTGGACCAGGTCTGTCCTGATGTGGGGTGGTCT